AAAAAAGAGGAAGAAATAAAAAAGAAGGAACAAAAAAGAAGAAAGAAAAGAAGGAAGAAAAAAAAGAAAAAGTAATAGAGAATTTCTCCGGAGAGCAAGAAGCACAGAAAAGTGGGACTCCATGACTCACCAATGAAGACTGCACTGAACAGCTTTGTGATTACAGAGGCAGTTTTGTAACTGGCTCAAAGCCAAGTGATCAAAATTTGCCTTCATCATTTGTCTCGCCAGTTGCTTTCAGGGCAAGAGTTGGTGGAAATTTATCCACATCATCATTAACACTGCTCTCCCATTAAGAGTTTCCACCAATTTGTGGTGAGCCACTGGCCAAGAGCCGGGACAGCACAGGCCAGACACAAATGCCAATAAAACAATCTGGTACATAAACCCAYGCTCCTGCAGCACAACTATGGCATGGCCCCGCAGTCAGTCCCACATCTCATTATCCCGATCATCCAGAGACACAGCCAGCCTAACAATACTGAATATTAATGGATAATGAGCTAATGAATGCAATTAGCACTAATTCAGTGACATTCAGATAGAAGATGCTGAGGATTTGAAAACATTATACTTACATTAATGTATCCTGACACACTGACAATTTAGAGGATGGTTTCTATTAGCCTGTGAGTTTGCAAAGGGAAACCTCCACCTCCTCTTTCTCCTGCGATCCTCTCCTCCTTAATCCTTTTTCCAAGCATCCCAGGGGCTGTGCAGATCAACCACCATACACAGGCAATTCCTACTCCCTGCCACAGCTCTCTGTGATGGGCAGTGCCTATGTGCAGCTGAAAGAGGGTTTTCTCCTCGTAGATCCCTTTTCTTCGCAGACTTTTCAGTGTCTGCTCCCTTGCTCAGCTGTTCAGCATACTGCTTTCAATTTTGATAGCTACTGCTTAGTGGTGCAAAGAAACCTCACTGGTGCCACGCTAATGATAGCTCAATCTCTCCCCACCTCCACAGCTCTTCCCCCAACGTCTCTGCTTCCCTCCCAGCGTCTGGAGAGGAGAGCTCTGCAGCGTGGGAGAGAGGAGACTCAACTGCACACACCACGGTGCTGCCGCAGCCAGAGCTGCGCACCCACCGCGGAGGTGCAGAACCAGACCCCGCTCTGCAGTGCCTSGAGCTCATGAGCCAAACTAACTGCTCGTGGGCGGCCGCCTGCCTACCTGAGAGGACATGGCTCCCCAGGGGACAGGGATGCTGCCTGCTGCTAAGCTGGATGCTGTTTCAGTGGCCCTGCCATCCACAGTGCAGCCTTTTGCCTGACAAAGCAGTGCTGCTTGAATTAAAGAGGTGGCACTACAGAAGCTCTTGCTCCAAGGGTTTGATGGCACTTCCAGGGTGCAAGTAGAGGAAGAGAGTATGAACTGGAGTCAAACTGGGACAATGAAATGCTTATAGACTTAAGCTGGTCACAAGTTTGTTCAGCTCTATCACATTCAGGCCAGTGAGAGGATCCTTGCTCTCCAGCTTTAGATTTTCCAAGTCACTATGCCTGAGACAACATTTTGAGCCCGCTTTGATTTGTRATGCCTACGAATTAACCAAGAGGATGCAGTGGATGTATGTCCTTTGCAGCAGCCTAACAGGGCACCTGCTRTGCCTAAGCATCTGCTACAGAGCACGGGTTGAGAACCAGTACAAAGGATGAAGCAAAGGCAGTGTCCCTTTAAAATACTGGAATTCTCTGGGAGCACCCTGGCAGAACGCAGGGGAGTTCTCCAGCACTGCAGGAGCACAAGGGAGTGTGGACATGAGAGGGACATCCACCATAGCAGCTGTGCTGTACCTGGCCCTCACAGATRGGCTGATGCCCACAGCATTTCTCTTGCAAGGGCCCAGCAACTGTAATGGATTTGTCCAGCTCTTCTAATGTCCCTCCAGGCTGTGGCAGTTCCATATCTTTGCTGGTGAGGWCAATACCATGTCCATAGCAGCTGCTCTGGATCCTAAACCTAGTCAGAGCTGTTGAGAAAGCCTGGGCTCAAACACAGGGATAGGGTAAAGAGGAGAGGCAATGGGATCACAAGTAGTTTAAGGACAGGTTCCACAGACCTAYCAAGTACCTTGGCCCTTGCAAACATTACCTTGTTGCCTAATGGCGTGCGACCCAAGACCCCCTTTTTGCCACCATAGATGAAGGTTCAGTCTGCTCACTTTTACATGCTTAAAATCTGTTAGTAAACAACCTCAGACATTTCAGGACTCTGAAATCCCGAGGGATGCGGTAAATTCCCTGTGTCTAACCCAATAACACACCTGAGAGCCACA